TGAGGTAAGCTGGCACCGGGGCTGAACCTGGGCCCCCTGCTGACCAAATGGGGCCCTGCCTCTGACCTCCTATCAGTGGCTTTGGTGCCAAACACACTGAAAAGTAGATTTTGTGTTTCCATCGTATCTCAGAAGCACAATATACAAAGTGTAACGCCGGAGGCGTAACTAGAACATTTAGGGCCCCAGTGCAAGAAACCATGAAGGGCCCCCCCACCGCCATGGGAAGGCACTATAAACAGGTACCGTGTGGTTAACAGGAAGGCTGCCGAGGACCCCAGCAAGCGCGGGACCTCAGGCAGCCACTTCAGTTTTAAAATGTATTGCCGGTATCTGCGCTTAGTATCGGGGCATTTTCATGAGTACTTGTGAACATGCCCAGTATTGGCACTGGTGCATCCCTACTTAATAATGTATTGCTGGCACTTGTAGTCCTGCATGGTTGGTGCTATTCTGCTATAATCATTATACAGCAATTAAGAATACCACCAACTATGCAGGACTACAAGTCCCAGCAATACATTATAATGATAATTGAATACCACTAGCTTCTCACCCCACCCCCACGCGCCCCCCCTTCCCTGTCCAGCCTTCACCCACACCAGCCTTCCCTGACTCCTGCAGCGCCTTCTTCATGGTGGCGGCCAGGGGGCGGGACTAAGTGGAGGGGCTCACGCACGGGAAAATGTGCTGCCCGGCAGTGCCTGTGTTCTATCAAGGATTGTGACTACGTTAGAATGTGTGACCGGTCACGTGGTCACACATTTTAATGTAATCCCGCCCAGTTTTTCAACGGTGGAATATGTGACCGCCAATAGGTGAAGAATTCACCATCGCTGATCGTATGTGCAGGAGAACCGATCTGCCCTGGAACAGCTGAGAAAGCGGTGGAATTCTTCACCTATTGGCGGTCACACATTCCACCGTTGAAAAACTGGGCGGGATTACGGTAAAATGTGTGACCATGTGACTGGTCACACATTCCGTAGTGACAAATTTTGATAGAACACCTGCAGCACAGGTGCCTGATCACTGGCACAGCCTCTCCATCCCCGCCGCACAGCCGCCCGTACATGCCCCGCTTCTACTGCTGCGGGTGGCAGAGCGGCGGGGGGGGGGGGGGCAGGGGGGGCAGCGGGGG